GACTGAGTTCCTATCAATAGGACAGGAGCAATGATAATGTGTTCCATTTCTAGTTATGGTCAATTAAAAGCTTTTATCCATTCATTTCTTTGTGTGTGTTTTTAATTAAATTTATTGGAGTTTTTTTTTTTTTTTTTTTTCCTTTCTTTATTCTTCTGTTAGGTGCATGCAGAGGATAAAAAAAATCCAGGCCTTCATAGAGATATGTAAAATAGGAGTCTGGTTCATTTAATAAGGAGGATACATGATCTGCCACCCTATACATTTGTCAACTATTATTTTGAGAGCAAAATATGAATTTCTACCGTGTTGCCTCATTTGTATGGTTAATTTCTATAGTACTTTGCCTACTTGAAGTAACACAATGAGAAATAGCCATAATATAAGAAAAGAGAAGGTTGAAAAAAACACCTACATTAGAAGGATGCATTTTAGTATCTAGAAGACTCACAAGAAGAAAATACTTCTGAAATTATATAATATAAGAACTAAAGAATACATTTATAATGTTGTTGGCATGCTTTATAAATGGCAAGGAACTTGCTTTTATTTTTTAGAAAAACAGGGCCATAAGGAATAAACCAAAAGAGATTAAGAGATAATCAAATAAATGAAAGATGACAGTAAAAAAAAAAAAGTCTATATTGTGGAAAAGGAAGGGAAAATTTGACACTACAAAAAATTGAATCAGTAAGCTGGAGGACAATATGAAAATTTCTCCTAGACTGTAGAGAACAAAGGGTTACTCATTGGAAATGCTGAAAAAAAAAAAAGAATGGTAAATATCCAGTTAAGATAATGAAGTGAAATGATACTAATCAGTATTTACCAGAAGCAAATGACTAACTAAAGCTCTTGAATGAAGAAATACAGTAAGGGATTTCATAGTTTCCTCAGTATGTCAATAAAGAGGACCTATTATGATACCATTTTGAAATGCAAAGATAACAGAAAATATTATCTAAGTGACTTAGAAGGAAAGCCAGACTGAAAAGCAAACCTATGTGAATACTAACAAAGGAAGAAAAGACAGTCATTCTTGTGATGGTGCCAAAACTCATGAGGCACAGTTTTCAGAATATTGAATGGAGGAAGATATACCCCCAGAATATGAAGGCTTTCTAAGCAGTTTTTCTTGACCCAGAGAAAATACAAATATTCTCAGGTACATAATACTAAAATATTAAGACTTTTTGTATATTTCTAAAATTTAATATATCTAACTAAAAAGAGGTGATGATAAGAGGACAATTAAAGTTTAAGTAAATAAATGTGAGCACCGAAAAAGCTAATACCAAAATTTGCAGTCAATTTTTTAAACCTGTAAAAAAAATGGTTTACGTTAAATATATCATAAAATTTTTTAAAAATTATCTATATTTAAAATGACATAATTGAGAAAGTTTTTCAAATGAATGGGATAAAGCAAATATAAAGCATCTTAAATTGTTTTAATATAGGCTTCTGAAATAATATTATATAAAAATTATATTAACTAGGACATATAGGCTAAAGACATTTTTTATGAAAATTAAAACTATTGCCCAACCAGATGCTCAGTTGGTTGAGCTATGTCCTGTACACCAAAAAGGTTGCTGATCCAATTCCTGGTCAGGACACATATCTAGGTTATGGGTTTGATTCATGGTTGGGGCAGGTAGCAGAGATAACCAATCAATATTTTTCTCGCACATTGATCTCTCTCTCTCTTTCCCTTCCTCACTCTCTAAAAATCAGTAAAAAAATATCCTTGGGTGAGGATTAATATTTTAAAAACTATTATAAAACAAAAGATTGGAGAGAAGTGTATGCATAGAGCAATATTACATGTAACAAAGCAAGAAAAATTTAAAACCAAAGCAATATGAGACAATCTGTAAGAATTAAAACAATACATTTGAAAGAATTTAAGATAAAACTCTCATTATATATCCAAAAGTCAATTTTAAGTACACAATATTTATAATAGACTTGGAATTAAGTAGCATTAAAAATAAAAAAATATGGACACATATAGATAAGCAATTAAATGGACGACTGTTTTACAGTTTAATTTACATGATATTTTTCCTTGTAGGGCTCCATATAGGATGGTTGTATTTAATGAGTTCTTACACTATGCCAGAAACTATTCTATAATTTTATATCGATTAACTCATGTATTCCTTTAAGCCACTGTGTAAATTAAATACAACCTGATCTTCATTTTGAAGGGAGGTAATGAAATTTTCCTAAGATCTTATAATTGGAAAATTATGGATCTTAGACAGAAATCCAGACCAGATGAAATCATAGCACAAGTTTTCAAGTTCAGTCCATCTCTATGGTGATAAAATTGTCATAAAATTTGTGCTCCTTGATTATACTGTATTAGATAGAAAACTACAAGCGATGAAAATAAATGTGCATCTTTCATAAACATATTTAGTTAAATGTACAGTATAACTATAAAGAATAATTTTAAGCCAAAATTGGTTTGGCTCCGTGGATAGAGTGTTGGCCTCTGGACCGAAAGGCCCCTGGTTTGATTCCAGTCAAGGGCATGTACCGTGTTGCGGGCACATCCTCGGTAGGGGGTGTACAGGAGGCAGCTAATTGATGTTTCTCTGATCGATGTTTCTAACTCTTTATACCTCTCCCTTCCTCTCTGTAAAAAATCAATAAAACATATTTTAAAAAAAGAATAAGTTTAAAAATGTCAGTAGCACACAATTTAATAGGTTGATAACACTATTTTGTTTTAATAAGTGTACTACTGAACTTACAAATTTTATTTAACAATCATAGCAACTTTTACTATTAGAAAAATAAAGTGAAAATGTATGTCTCATTCTGTTACAGAAGGTAGTTCAAAGTTGTATAGCTATTAAGTAAAGCCAGTATTTTTATCCAGAGCTATGGACTCCAAATCCCTCTATGTAAAAATAAATTAGTTTTATCCTGATGAAATAACAACGTGAGTTTAAGTATATACTTGTATATGAAATTTCCAGCTTTCTTGAGGCATTATTGACATATAAGATATGTAAATTTAAGGTATATGAAATGATGATTAGATATATTGTGAAATGATACAATAAAATTACTTAACACTCCCATTCCTTTACATAATTACCTTTTTTTGTGTGGTGAGAGAAGATGAAAACAACTTCTTCAAGTTGAAGAGGAATCAACTTAAAAAAACTGGAAAAAAGCAAAGCCCAAATAATTATTTATTGAGAGAGCTCCATAAATAATTATTAGTATATTATATAACCAAATATAATTTACATTAAAAACAGAAAAATGATTCAACTAAACATTGGAAGGTCTATTTAATGAAATATGATCATCTCAAAAACTATGTGTGAGGCAGTCTTGTAAATGTTTTGCATACATGATCTCATCTAATTCTTTTAATAACTCTATGAGGTAGAGTTCTCTGATATGAAAATGGAACCCAAGGAAGTTGAAAATCTTCTCTGAGAACACAACTAACACATACCTATACACTCAGGTAGTCTGGATTTGATGAGCTCATGCTTGTAAAACAGCACACCATGAAAAATGAACAGTAGGAAGTGAGAGTAGAAATTGTCATCATTTGCAGATTTTCAACCTAAAAAACCATTTAGAGAAACAAGTGCTCTTAGCAATACAGCTTCTTCCCAAGCACTAACTCATCCTTGTCTACTATTTAGAGGAGATACAGAAACCTCCCTCTCCCCTTGTCACTTTCCCCCTTAACAGGGACAACCCCAAACAATATTTATGGAGATCTTAGCATTTCATGCCCCGGCAAGACTGCCCCTCCTTCAGTTTATACACTGTCTGCTTCCAAACAGTTGAACTGATTAATCCTAAAAAGGAAACTATAATTAGAATTGATTACCCAATTTTCCCTCAGAAACCATCAGTACTAAACTAAACATTTTATAGCCCTGTTTATTTTAGAAACAACTAAAATCCTAAAGCTTCCACAATCACCCATATGGCTCTATACAACCCTAATTGGACCCAATGTCTTACCATTTCCTTACTCTCCAAACTGTCACTATATCCTCAAATAGGTACCAGAGATCCTCACCAGTATTCCTAGTCCTCCTTACATCTCAGATTTAAGAGAGTTTTGCACTCCTTTCAATTGACCCAACTTCGACCAATAAAACATACTAGTAAATGGAAATGTCATGTGCTGTGCCACTTTTTTGGTACAAATATTAGAGGACTATTTTGGGATTCCTCATGTTTTCTCTTTTTCACTGAGGTAATTACAGAAATACATGTTAGTATGGAGGTGCCAAAATATCAAAGTGACCCAGAATACAGACTTAATATTAGAAGGCTAACCCCTATTTTGTAAAACTACTGTTTGAAATTCTCTGCTATTTTTTAGAGAGCCTCTTATTCCAATAAATAAATAAATAAGTAAATAAATAAATAAATAAATAAAAAAAATTAACTTTGCTTTCTAGCCTGCTTGAATAATAAGGAAGATGAACTTAGATATCTGACCAGAGATTAGATATGCCCATACTTTCATGCAATGCCAGATGTATTTTTTAATTGGATAGAACTGTGTTTTTAAGGCCACCAGCGAGATAATCACTAAGCACACATAGGGCTAGCTCTTTAATAAAAAGGAAAATTCTGCTTGTAGCTTTGCTTAGAATTTGAATTCATTTTTCTCTGAGCCCACCAGTGAATAAAGTGTGACTCCAAACTCTCTGAGCTCTCACCTGGTAAGCAATCATACATTTTTAATAACTAAGTCAGTTAATTGGTGTGATGTTTTCACAAGTAATAAGTAATGAATACAAGTATAGTCAACATTATTAGTATTGTGTTTTATGAAAGAAAAACTATAAAGGGAAATAATGTTTCAATATAAAGTATCAAAATTTCTGTCAGCTTTAATGTATTACAAAAAAGGAATTGTCAAATAGTTGAAATAGTTTCACTGAAAAGAAGTGATTACTTATAAAAGTTGGGAAAAGTTATGAAACATAAAGCTGTGATAGCTCTGTGTGTAAAATGACCAGCAGGAAAAAAACACACACACAAAAAAACAGAAGAACAAAGAAATTACAGATCTATTTTATAACAAAATCAATAATAAAGAAAAAAATGTCTGCAAAAGCAAAGAAAACATTTTTGAGATTTGAGTCAATCCATAAAATAATGGTAAAAAAGTTGAAAGAAATATTAACTTTTCACATGAAGATATATTTGCATAAATATGATTCACAGCTTACACAGGTAAAATATATAATTGTTATAAGTAGATAAGTACTTATTGCCTGAAAACTTAACTTCCCAACTCTTCTCTGACTGCATTTAGTTCAATAATTTATGATATATCATAAAAATTATGAGCTAGACTTTTCTCATGTATAAGGTAAAACAATTAACACAACTTTTACACAAGATTATACAGACACACAAGTCTTTAAATAAACTATAAAATATTTTCACATTTATTACTCAAAATTGTAGTCTGCAAATAAGATAACAGATGTAAAGGCATTTTTATATTAGAAATCATTCCACAGATATAATGTAGCTTTGTAATTTTATCATGTAAGTATTTTTAACCTATATATTTAAAGAATTTTTTAAAAGCAGTTCTATATCATGGAACTGAAAGAAAAAATTATCAATGGCTTTCAGTCACATTTTCAGTCCTATATAATAAAAGCTTAATATGCAAATTGTTCAACCGGAAGTTCAGCCACTTGCTATGATGTGCCTTAACTACCAAGGCACAGCACGGATCATGGCAGGCATCAGCGACATGGTGCTGGCAGTGGGTGGCAGTGGAGGCTCTGCCAGACTGATGGGCCCCAACAAGAGCAGGACCACAGTGAGACGGTGGAGCAGATGAACAGGTGGCACCAGGCCAAGGCGGGTGTGAATGGGATCCCCCACAGACAGTGACCAGTGGCAGCAGGAGCAACCCAGCTCCCAGGCACTGAGGGAGCTGGGCTTGGTTTGGGGGGATGGTACTGACTGATGGCCTTATGGCTGGTGACTAGTGCCTGGAAGGCTCTGATCGCCTGATTGGGTCTGGGCCCTGGGCTGGGAGGGGGTGGGTGGCAGTGACCAACCTACCAAGGCACCCAGGTAGGGGCTGCAAGGTGGGGGTGAGGAGATGGAGGTGCAGTGAGAATGTGGGTGTCTGCTGAGCTCACTCTCACTTCCCCTGCTACCCTCCTCCGGGATGCCAGGGCTCACACAGTGAGGAAGCCCCCAGGTCAGGGGCCAGGCACCCAGGAGAAGCCTGCCCCGGCCCCACGTAGCCTCTTTCAGGTGAGCAGGGCCTCAGCTTCCGGGACCCAGGGGCCGGTCAGGCTCCGGGTGAGTTCCTGCAGGAGATGGCCTGCAAGGCCAGGGGGAGAGAGCCTGCTGCCAGCCCAGCTTCCGTGCAGTGCCACTGGGCGGCCCAGAGGCCCACACTGTGCCCCCGCCCACGGCACCTTTCCGTGCTCACTGCATCTCTGTGTAGGGTCTTGGGCACCATGACTCAGGGGTATGTGGGGGGGTGGGAGGGTGAGTGAGGTCCCAGGGGCCCAGGTGCTGTCCAGGGCCCAGAGGTCAGCTGGGACCTGTTCTTCCACACCAGATGCTCGCACTTTGATCGCAGGCCAAGCCCAGGGATCACTTCCATGCATGAATTTAGTAAAATATACACTCCCAACCTATTTTATAGAGTCTTACATAATCAGACCCCATCCTTCTCTAATTTTTAATTTATAATGTTTCTTCATTGTTTATTACCTTTTTGCAAAACTAGTTTTCTCCAGGGTTGTCTTAATTATGACAATTTTATTCCCACTTTATTTATTTTTATTTATTTACTTTTAATATATTTTATTGATTCTTTTTACAGAGAGGAAGAGAGAGGGACAGAGAGTCAGAAACTTCAATGAGAGAGAATCATCGATCAGCTGCCTCCTGCACATCCCCCATTAGGTATGTGCCCTCAACCAGTATGTGCCCTTGACTGGAATCGAACCCGGGACCTCTCAGTCCGCAGGCCAACACTCCATCCACCGAGCCAAACCGGTTTTGGCTTTATTCCCACTTTAGAAGCTTGCTAGATACTTCTTTCTTTAACTGGCCTACTCTTAGACATCAGGCCTTCCCAAATGACTTGTTCTAAAGTAGCATCCAATGACTCCCTAAAAAAAATATAATCTTATTTTAATCCTTTTAAGAATACTCATTGTTGCCTCATACTTCGCAGTGTCTTTATTTCCTTTATCTTATTTGTTGTTTAACATCCTTTTCCTTGTATTAATATCCAGGAGTACAGGAATCTTGCCTTCATCACTGTTTGCATAATACCTAGAATGGTATCTGGCAAAGAATTGATTCTCAACCTATGTATATTACATGACCATAGAGAACTTCCAAGCTGAACCCATCCTTTGATGTTAGAGTTTCAGAGAGATGCACTGTTTGTCCAAGATACAATGAAAGTTTTCTGGATTCCATTACCTCTATACTTTACCATGGAGATTAGCACCAATTAACTCTCTTAATGGTTTTATTATCACAATTCACAATTTTATGTTCAAACTTACTGCAGGCAGCTTAGATCTACTATATTTCTATAAAGTTTAGAGATATTTTCAGAATTCTAAGAAAAGAACAGGCATCCTGCCTACCAAATAAAAAAAGAATGCTGAGAAGTTGACCTAGATCAATCATCCCCTCAAGTAACAGAAGGCAAAAGTGTATGGATAAAAGAAATAATTTCAATCAGAAGAATCTTGTAGGCACCTAAAACTCCAGATTGGGGAAGTGGCATGGGAAGGAGTTAGATTAAAATGCTTATTGTTTTTTATAATTCCAAAGTATTATTTTCAATAGTTTCAACACAGGCATTTAAAAAATGCCTAAATAATGGTCATATTCTCTGATGGATATTTAAAGACAAGACAGAAGTCAAGACAAGACAGTTGGCTCTCTATATCCACAAGTTTCTTATTCACTTTAATTGTGGATCAAATATTTTTTTTAAAGTTACATTGTTACTGATGTTTCACATAGTTAGGCCTATGAAGATTGTGTCTGTGCTGAACTTGTATAGACATTTTTTCTTGTCATTATTCTCTAAATAATATGGTATAATAACTATTTACATAGCATTTACATTGTATTATGTTTATAAGTAATGTAGAGATGTTTTAAATATGTGGCAGGATATGCATAGGTTATATGCAAATTCAGTGTCATCCTATATAATGAAAACCTAATATGCTCTGTGTCCAATCATTTAGTCAGCTGTTCAACCAATCAAAGTGTAATCCTATGTAATAAAGAGGTAATATGCAAATTGACTGTCACTCCAATACACAAGATGCTGCTGCCATGTCATCAAAGATGGCCACCACAAGATGGCCAGCAGGGGAAGGCAGTTGCGGGCGATCAGGCCATCAGGGGAGGGTAGTTGGGAGGAACCAGGTCTGCAGGGGAGAGGAGTTGAGAGTGACCAGGCCTGCATGGGAGGGCAGTTAGGGGCAACCGAGCCTTCAGGGGAGCAGTTAGGCACCCATAAGGTGGGCAGGGGAGCAGTTAGGGGTTGATCAGTCTGGCAGGCAAAAGTGGTTAGGGGCAATCAGGAAGGTAGGCAGGCGAGCAGTTGGGAACCAGCAGTTCTGTATGTGAAAGGGATGTCCCAGATTGGAGAGTTTGCAGGCTGGGCTGAGGACACGCCCCCCATGCACAAACTTTGTGTACCGGGCCTCTAGTATACTAATGATATGCTAAGGTTGCTCAATTGCTCACTATGACCTGCACTGATCACCAGGGGGCAGTCAACTAGTTGACCAGTCATTATGACGTGCACTGACCACCAGGGGGAAGACACTCTGACTGGTAGGTTAACTTGCTACTGGATCTGGCCAATTGGGACTGATCGAGACAGGCTGGACATGTCCTAAAGCTCTCCAGTGGTCCCTCCCCAGCTGGCCAACCTTCTGCATCCTTTGCTGGCCCCAATTGTACACCAGTGGGGCCTCTTGATTTTGCCTGAGCCCTCTCCCAATCCCAGACCCCTCGAGGGATATCAGAGAGCCAGTTTCAGCCTAATCCTGCAGGTCAGGCCCTGGTACCCCACTGGTGCATGGATATGTGCACCAGGCCTTTAGTCCTATGTAATAAAAGAGTAATATGCAAATTGACCACCATTCCAACACACAAGATGACTGCCCCCATGTGGTCAAAGATGGCTGCCCCATTTGGACATAAGATGGCTGCCACAAGATGGCAAGCAGGGAAGGGCAGTTAGGGGTGACCAGGCTGGCAGACAAAGGAAGTTGGGGGAGACCAGGCCTGCAAGGGAGGACAGTTGGGGATGAACCCAGGCCTGGAGGGGAGGGCAGTTGGGGCAATCAGGCCTGCAGGGGAGGGCAGTTAGGGGTGACAGAGCCAGTGGGCAGTTAGGGGCAATCGGGCCATCGGGGGAGCAGTTAAGTGTTGATTGGGTTGGCAGGAGAGTGGTTAGGGGGTGATCAGGTTGGCAGGCAGAAGTGGTTAGGGGTAATCAAGCAGTCAGGCAGGTGAGCTATTGAGGGCTGGATTGTGAGAGGGATGTCCCATATTGGAAGAGGGTACAGGCTAGGTTGAGGGACACACACCTCGCCCCCTGTGCATGAATTGTGTGCACCGAGCCTCTAGTTTTTAATAAGAGTCATGAGCATCTGAAGATTTTGGTATCCCTGGGGAGAAGCACAAGGAAGAAGATGGAGAGGAAGACAAAAAAAAAAAAGGCATTAAATATATACAACTAAATGTTTAGTAAGTAGTAAAACTCCAATCAGCTAAAGTTCTCATTTATGTCACAAAGTCATAGCTTATATCTACCTTTTCCTTCTTTTGCTATCGATTTGCCCTTAGTCATAAGTTTAGCTAGTCAGAGTTTTATCTCATGGAGCAATTTATACCTTTATTACTGACATTAAATAAGGAAATGTGAAAGTAGTTCAGAAAGCACGTAAGTTGCTTGATTTTTATTAGTATTTCTAATATTACCT